GGGCTGGGTGTGCTGAGAGAAACCCCAAAGGAGCCTTGTGCTTGTAGGGCTGGGTGTGCTGAGAGGGGAGATCCCAGCCCAGGGAAGGATGGGGTGTTTTGGGAACACCCAGATCACACTGGCTGTGCTGAGAGGGCAGAGCCCAGCCCAGGGAAGGTCTGGGGTGTTTTGGGAACAGAGCCAGGGAAGGATGGGGTGTTTTGGGAACACCCAGAGCAGGCTGGGTGTTTTGGGAGCCGAACCAGGGAAGGACTGGGGTGTTCTGGGAGCAGAGCCAGGGAAGGTCTGGGGTGTTTTGGGAACAGACCCAGAGCAGGCTGGGTGTGCTGAGAGGGCAGAGCCCAGCCCAGGGAAGGTCTGGGGTGTTTTGGGAGCAGACCCAGAGCAGGCTGGGGTGTTTTGGGAACACACCCAGAGCAGGATGGGGTGTTTTGGGAACAGAGCCAGGGAAGGATGGGGTGTTTTGGGAACAGAGCCAGGGAAGGATGGGGTGCTTTGGGAACAGACCCAGAGCAGGCTGGGGTGTTTTGGGAGCAGACCCAGATCACACTGGCTGTGCTGAGAGGGCAGAGCCCAGCCCAGGGAAGGATGGGGTGTTTTGGGAGCAGAGCCAGGGAAGGATGGGGTGCTTTGGGAACAGACCCAGAGCAGGCTGGGGTGTTTTGGGAGCAGACCCAGATCACACTGGCTTTGCTGAGAGGGCAGAGCCCAGCCCAGGGAAGGTCTGGGGTGTTTTGGGAACAGACCCAGAGCTGGGTGTGCTGAGAGGGGAGAGCCGAGCCCAGGGAAGGTCTGGGGTGTTTTGGGAACAGAGCCAAGGAAGGATGGGGTGTTTTGGGAGCAGACCCAGAGCAGGTTGGGTGTTTTGGGAGCAGACCCAGAGCAGGTTGGGTGTTTTGGGAGCAGACCCAGAGCAGGTTGGGTGTTTTGGGAGCAGACCCAGAGTACACTGGCTGTGCTGAGAGGGCAGAGCCCAGCCCAGGGAAGGATGGGGTGTTTTGGGAGCAGAGCCAGATCACACTGGCTTTGCTGAGAGGGCAGAGCCCAGCCCAGGGAAGGACTGGGGTATTCTGGGAGCAGACCCAGAGCACACTGGCTTTGCTGAGAGGGCAGAGCCCAGCCCAGGGAAGGACTGGGGTATTCTGGGAGCAGACCCAGAGCANGCTGAGAGAAACCCCAAAGGAGCCTTGTGCTTGTAGGGCTGGGTGTGCTGAGAGGGGAGAGCCCAGCCCAGGGAAGGATGGGGTGTTTTGGGAGCAGACCCAAGGAAGGTCTGGGGTGTTTTGGGAACAGAGCCAGGGAAGGTCTGGGTGCTTTGGGAGCAGACCCAGAGCAGGCTGGGGTGTTTTGGGAGCAGACCCATGGAAGGATGGGGTGTTTTGGGAACAGAGCCAGGGAAGGATGGGGTGTTTTGGGAACAGACCCAGAGCACACTGGCTGTGCTGAGAGGGCAGAGCCCAGCCCAGGGAAGGATGGGGTGCTTTGGGAACAGACCCAGGGAAGGACTGGGATGTTTTGGGAGCAGAGCCAGATCACACTGGCTGTGCTGAGAGGGCAGAGCCCAGCCCAGGGAAGGATGGGGTGTTTTGGGAACAGAGCCAGGGAAGGTCTGGGGTGTTTTGGGAACAGACCCAGAGCTGGGTGTGCTGAGAGGGCAGAGCCCAGCCCAGGGAAGGATGGGGTGTTTTGGGAACAAAGCCAGGGAAGGATGGGGTGTTTTGGGAGCAGACCCAGGGAAGGACTGGGATGTTTTGGGAGCAGACCCAGAGCACACTGGCTTTGCTGAGAGGGCAGAGCCCAGCCCAGGGAAGGATGGGGATGTTTTGGGAGCAGACCCAGAGCAGGCTGGGTGTGCTGAGAGAAACCCCAAAGGAGCCTAGTGCTTTTAGGGACAGTGAGAGGGAACTGGGGCATTCAGAGAGCAGAGCCAGGGAAGGTCTGGGGTGTTTTGGGAGCAGACCCAGGGAAGGATGGGGTGTTTTGGGAACAGACCCAGAGCTGGGTGTGCTGAGAGGGGAGATCCCAGCCCAGGGAAGGATGGGGTGTTTTGGGAACAGACCCAGGGAAGGATGGGGTGTTTTGGGAACAGAGCCAGAGCACACTGGCTGTGCTGAGAGGGGAGAGCCCAGCCCAGGGAAGGATGGGGTGCTTTGGGAGCAGACCCAGGGAAGGATGGGGTGTTTTGGGAGCAGACCCAGATCACACTGGCTGTGCT